GCACATGACTTTCCTGAGTCACCTGATCAAGCCAAGTGGTTCAGCAGTCTTATGACGGAGAGGAGGAGAAGCCACCCCCACCGCAGCCATTCATGAAATCAAAACTATGCGTCACTGGCTACATGGGCTGTTTTTTTAAGCCTTCACACATAAAGGAGGGAACAGAGTCATGCTCAACCGCCAAACAAATCTCCCTTCTAACAACTGGTACAGTACAATACAAACTGCAAAGTTATTTAAGCGTAAAATCAATTTGCAAATCCTTGGTGATCACTTATGTTTCTTAAGATAGTGGTGATGATTGCAGCTTTAGGCAACAAGTATTCTTAGTTCCTTATTTTGAAGAGTTTTCTGTGTATCTGAGGTCTACAATAACCTATTTTCAGTTGCAAATAATTGGCAGTGTTAATAATCTGACCAACAAATGGCTAAAATGACTGAATACATTACAACACCAGTTCCTCAACTTTGTTTTCAAATGTTAGATTTTTTTTCTAAAACTTCAGAACAAAGATTTTTAAAAAAAGGTTAAATGACCACTATTTGGTATTTTATACAGGAAAACAAAAATTAGTCATTAGTCAGAAAAACCTCAAAGAACTCGTAATGGTGTATCTTTCTTGGTGCATACAACCCAGCAGCGACCTAATCAACGTTTTAATTGCATAGGTGAGCCCAAAATGCAACAGCTTTGCAGCCTTTAAGGAATCTAGAACCAATGTTTGTCGAAATATAATCAGAAAAACACTAACATTAGCTAATATTAGCATGTTGCTACAGACCCTAAACTCTTATTCTAAAGCTCATCATGCTCACATTGCCTGTCATACAAGTAGACCATCACAAGCTGCTAAAAGAATGCTAGCCAACAGCAGATAACACAGTTAGTGATATCATTTAAAATAAACATCTACGCTCTTAAAATGACATATTCTGTTGATGCAACGTTTAGACATTTATCTTTCCATCAGTGCTGCCTTAAAATACCAAAACCACACCTGAAAAAAACTTCTTCCCCTATGCCTACGGTGACTCAGAAGGGTCTACAAAATGCAAATTTCACAACACAGCAACAAAAGCCATAAACGTCACTCTAAATTGGCATAATTTCCTTTTAAGCATATCTTCTGATTTGGCATTCATTGTTACATTGTGAGTTTTGCACTTTGTTGACCCTTCTGGGCATCCATACAGGCTGCCTCACAGAGATTGATTAGTCGACTCCTCTGCTGTGAACAAAATAAGCATATTTGACCCACCACTACCTGCTTTCCTTTTATTCTTGTTCTTTGCACCTAGAAAAACTGGTTGAAGATACACACCATTTCTTTTACCCCTCATTAATTTATTCTAACATTTATACTTAATGTCTGCACACTGAGGATGAAAAACAAGTCAAATTCCTTGTTTATGCACACAGTTCTGGACAATAAAGCCGAATATAATAGTTTGAAAGCCAATTTCATGTTTGCTAAAGCATGCTAGCTAGTATAAAGAGTTGTTTTGCTGTGGGTTTACTGAGAAGAGAGTGATTTAATTTCCTAATTACATCAGTGGTGCTGACGAGAAGCTACAACTGCAAGACAAGACGGAGGTGTGGGTTTAGCATGTTGGTTATGAAGGCTTAGCACTTACTGATAATGAGCAAAAGCTGGAAGATTCTGATAATATCTAACCCGTTGTCACTTTTGGCTTCCTTATCTATGTTGTATGTAAAACTTTTTTTTGTTTGCTGAATTTCTCTAACAAGTTAATTCTGTTTAGAAATTTCCTGTTTTGCCTTTTTCTACTAGGGGAAGCAATTATAAAATCCTTAATGTGATAAGGGGTAAACTAATTTAATACTCAGATAATGCAGTTAACATACTTCACTAAACACTTTCTCTTTTCCATCATCACATTGTGCAATGATGCTCTAAATAAAAATCCTTTTCATTGTGTAAAATAAGATTCAATTGCTCCGCAGATGGAACTGATGGAGAAATAAATGAGAAAACTTTTGAGGGAAAAAAAGCCACATAAATGTTCGCATGCAATTAACAATGGCCAATTCGTCTAACGTGTATGTTTTTAGAACATGGAGAGAATCTGGCAAACCTGGAATCTGTAAAGAAAAAGTACCCTGACCCGGACTTCAACCCAATACCTTAAGGCAACGTTTAGGGCCTTTATAATGAGGCAACAGTGCAAAGCAACAAGGTACTGATGAGGTGCTCAAGAAACATCTAAAAATGGTAGCACTGAGAAGAATGCGACACTATAGCGATACACACAAGGAACAATCCATGTACCAAATCCAATTTCAAAAACCAGCAGGATTTGCTTTTTCATATGATCAGTGATCAGGTAATAGCTCGGGATGCAAGATATATTTGTATCAACAAATGAGTCTTTTTTTTTTTTTTGACATTTCAGTTTTGGTGTCATAAGAAAAACAGAACAAATGTTATAAAATTTTGCTTTGTAGTTATTTTTCATTTTCTTGACCAGGTAGGGAAACAGAAATATTAGTAACAGTTTTTGGCCTTAACAACAATATTAATAATTGTTGTAATTATTAATATTATAAGTACAGTAAAACTGTACTTATCTGCATTTACTTTGAAGCACTGCGAAAACCCATTCACAAAATGATAGTGATATTTAATAGGCACAAATAAGCACTTTTCTTTTAAACATTTGAGCAGAAACGCAGCATAAAACCAAATACCAGGTTTCAAACAAACATGCAGCTCAATATATAGAATTGTGTGTTTGAGCTTCTTTGGTGGTTTCTAAGCTATACAAAAACAAACTGAAAGAGTGCTGACCCTTATACTAGTTTTAAAATATAGGTCTGTATGAAGATACAAGAAAATCTGTTTTGGGTGGGGTTCCTTCTTTTTCTCTGATTTGGCAATTGTGATAAAAAGTTAGAGCATCCCTGGATTAGACAACATTAGCTGCCACAAAAGGTGCAACCAGTATTTGAGAAATCTCTGCAAAAGTTGCACAAGACAGGCTTTCTCAAACATGCAAAAGAAAACTACAACAGAAGTTTATCAAAAGTATGTCCATTTGTTTTGGTCCTGTTAATAAATAAATATTTCTGTGCAAGATAGGAAGTTAAACTGAATCAATACAGGCATAACAAAAAAACGACAAGCTGTTATGTTTCTGTTTTCACAAAATTCCGCATATTCATCCGATTAATAGAGGCTCATGAATCTGTGGCATTTATTTGATTCACCGTCTCATGGTGTGAAAGGCAACCACACGTCGCTCTTGCTGACCTGTTACAACAGTAACACTTACTCTAGAAGTATTCACATGACTGTGAGATCCATCCTGTTTGTGTGCAATTCTTGCAACAGTCGACATGTTTTCGTCAACTTCCTAGTGATAGAAAATGTCTGAACAGTTCTGTGAATTTCCCACGGGCGACAAAAAAACCACAAGCGACTGGGAAGAGAGGTTACCGTGTACAGTAATAACTAGTTTGCAGCCGAAAAGCTGCAAACTAGTTAGCAGAGGTGTTGACAAAACACCAACAGCGCGGCTACCGCAAGTGTGTGTTGTTTTGTGACAGCTGTAAAGCCAAAATACACCGAGTTTCAGTTAGTTTCTGCCCAATATGGGTGACTAACATCCCATTAAAAAGGCTAAAGGTGTTAGCATTAACCTAGCAAAAGTAGCTAGTAGTAATAGCCGCTGAGGACTTACAGCGATCACGTTTACAAATGTTGTTTTTCCAGAGTACTGCAGGCCGACCAGTGTCAGCTCCATCTCTTCCTTCCAAAACAGGGACCTGAACCAGTCCAAAAGCCGATTTATTAGCGCCAGCATCTTGACGTCGCCGATCACGCTCCCCTGTGATGGTTTTCTTTCTCTCCCTCCCTGTCAGATGTGGCGTTTTCCAGCAGCAGCAACAGAGGGGGAAGGAAGGGAACTGGGACACACAGGCAGTGATCATGTGATCTGTCAACACTGTTCAACAGTGCCCCTACTGGTAGATTTGATGAATTACATTTACTGGCTTGTTGATGTTCTTCTTCTTAAGGTGCTTTGTGGCGGTTGAAGACCAACTAAATAGGTGCAATACCGCCACCAAGTGGACTGGAGTGTGGACAGAAAATTAACAGAAAAAAGTGATTCTTTCTAGAAAATTTTTGTTTTTCAAAAATCACCTGACTTGATCTTTTATTTTGCGTATATTCATTCCAAAACGATTTTCAGCTATCTGTTTAACCTATGATTTTTTCACTACCTCTTTGAGATGTTTCATTACTGGATTATATAATATGCGTTCTGTGAAACATGTTTGCAATAATGAATATTTTCCTGTAATTTTAAGTGCTTAAAGCTGTCGTATGTAACTTTTGCATATTTGTCGAACTATGTTGTGATAGTGTGATATGAGACAAATAATCTGAAAAAATAGAGCTCCCCTGCCTTCTTCCAGTGCTCCCAGTTTTAGAAACAACCAATCAGAACCAGGAGGGGTGTCTTTGTGCTGTCAGTCACAATCTTCTGCGTTGCTGCTCATCCCCTTCTCACGACTCCTTTTGTTTTCTGCTACTGCTACAACTTTTCTAAGTCAGAAGAGCCAGTCATGAATGTTCAGACTAATTAAAGGCACTGATAACTATATCAGTTGCTATATCAACAATGCATGAGGTTGGGTGACAGCGTAAAGACCCTTCTCCTGACTCTAATTTGTTGTTTTTGGTCTAGAGTGGTGCATATCTGCAGATAGCAATATTAGCTCAGAGAAGATCTCTTGAGGGAAGGATCAGAAGTGATGAGAACTAATAACTATATGAATAAATACATAAATAAATACTCTTAAATTCATGGATATTTGTGAAGTTTAGAAACATATACTAATATCCAATTATCAATTTTTCAGAATAAAGGAAGTAAACCCGTCACAAATACTCTGATTTATGCAATATTTATTTAAGAAACATAAAAAATACACTTTATATTGCTGGGAAAAATATACAAAGAAAACAGTCCCATTTCAATTGTTTTGAAGGGGAATACAGACATTGGGGAGTCTATAATTTGACAAAACACAAATAAATTACAGTTAATACATACATTTCAGTGTATTTTTCACCATTTATAACTATAAAATGGTGATCCTGCTAATTGAAATTAACTTGCACATATAATGGTGTTTCCCATTTAAGTCTTCCAAAACATTTGTCATCATATAATATTACATCATAAGAAAAAATGTGATTTAAAAATCACTGAAACATAAATTTAAGCAATTCCTTGTAACATAGGAATAGGGCCAGTTCTGATTATGTTAATTTTACACCCGAGACATTTAAAAGCTCATATCATTTTTTAAAGACTTTAACAAACAAACAAACAAACAATGATTTAATATAAATAACCAATCTCCTTTGTTTCTTCAGCAAAACATCAAAGACTTGAAATCAACATAACACTTCAACACAGTTGGAGTTGATAAACTTAAACAAAATATTTCATTTATGTTTTACACATAAATTGATATGTTTCTAGTAGAACTGATCAAAAAATAAGTTTAATATAAATAAACATGCCTTTTCCCTTTAAATACTAATGACTTCTAATAATTACAAAATTAAACACAGGACAAAAACCTAAAAATTGGAGCAGCGCTCCACTTTCCTATGCAACAACCATAAACATACAGCCAGAGTTGCAATGTAAAAGAATTGCTTGGTCAAAGTACTGACCAAAGAATATTCCTGACCAATAAAAACTGGTCTTCACAGTCCCTGGATGTGAGAAATTGGTAGAGACAGAGGCTAGAATTGCATCAAAAAGGTGGTTTTACAAAGAACTCATTAAGGAGGATGAAATATAAATTATCTCCATACTTTTCATAGTTTTCTTTGTCTCTAAATTCTGTGCTAGTTCGTCTGGCACACAGAAGGTGGCTGCATTAACCAGAAAAAATGCAAAAAAATTAAATGTGGTGTATACACTAATACGTACGTGTTCCAGTGGTAGTCATGTCTTATCAAAACTAAAAAGTTGTCTCTTTATGAAAAAGAGACAACTGATTCACTGCAACAGTCCTTGAATTCATCCTGGATGATGAGCTTCAGTCCGCTCTCCTCTTTTGAAAGGTGGAAGTCGCTGGTTTTGGATGAGACCGCCTGGACTGAAATCTTACCTGAGGCAGAGACATAATTTAGTGACAGAATACTAGAAAAATATTTACAGACAATGTGGGTTCTTATCAGAGTGGTACTCCTTCTGTCACCCCTAAACCAATCATGGAGAAAATCCACTAAAATCTTCAGCCAGATAAAATGCAGTGCCCTACTAGGCATGAAAAATAATCTCCCTATTCCCAGCATCAAGTAAGGACCATTAACTCTCTATTAATGGCATATCCAAAAACTCAATTAAAAAAAAAAAACTTGTGAATTTCACCTCTCACATTAGTTATATTTTACACACCCCTTTCTAATGCTACCTTTGGAAACTGCCTTAAATGCCCATAAATAAAAAAAGAATTAAAAACAGTGTAGTTCAAATCTTACACAGATGCCAGAAATTCAACAGTTGAAATGTTTTTAACATGTATAAAGTTGAATTCAGGTTTCAGTCACAGGATTTTATCCATCCATCCTTTAAGTCCAGGAGAGATACCCAGGGTCAGTGTTAGTTCATTTTGGGGGAACCCAAGATGTTCCGATGCCAAAAGAGACAAAGTCCCTCCAGCATGTTTTTGGTCCAAAGGATTTCTTCTGTCTAAGAAATGCCTGGAAAACCTCCAAATGGAGGCACACTCCTTATCAGAGGCTTGAGCCTCCTTGGCTTACCAAGCATCCAAATAAGAGATTTTATCAATTTATTTGTAACTCTGAGCCCAATAGAAAAAAATCACTTCAGCCACTTTTGTTTTAGGTCTATCTTAAATGAATACTGACAGCTTTTCAATACAATAAAGCCTTTTCTTTCTCAACCTTGCAACTTCATGCGATTTTCAGTCACATTGTCATTTCATAAATTACTGCTTTGTAGCGTCATCATACATTGTCCTACCCTTGCATGTATGCAGACAAAAACAACTAATTTATGTTTGATGAAAATCTGTCCTATAGAGTTAAAATGATATCTTAAACTTGTTTACTTGCAACGCTGTTCCTCTGGTTCCTCCTCAGGTTCTTCGAGCAGGCGTAAAGCATAAACAGAAAGAGGGTCAGGGAGAGAAAAACAAAGCCAATGCTCATGATCCAGTGAGCATTGGCATAGTCTCTTCCACCTCTTTGTGGTTCTGGAAAAAAGTTAAGTAATAGTTAGCTTCTAAGACTGACAATTCATCATATATTCATCCACACGTCAGTCGGTCAGGGAGTCATCTGTTTATCCAGGGTTGGGACATGGAAGTAGCAGCTTAAACAGAGAGGCCCAAGCTTCTCATCCTATGTATAAAGGTGAGCCCAGAAACCCTGTGACGAAAATTAATTCCAGCTGCTTGTATGTGAAATATCATTCTTTCAATCACTACCCGAAACTTGTGATCATAGATGAGGGAAAATCATAGAAGGCTGGTAAATCAAGAGCTATGCCTTTTGACTCAACTCTCTCTTCACCACAACAGACCAGTACAGTGCTTGTATCATTGCAGACATAGCACCCATCCACCTGTCGACCTCCCACTCCATTTTTTCCTTGTTTGAAGAAAAAATTCTGAGAAACTCGAACTCCTACACTTGGGACAGGCCTTCATTCCCCACACATAGGAGGTATTCTACCCATTTCCCACCATGCTCTCAGATTTGGAGGTACTGATCCTCATCACCGTCACACTGAGCTGTAAACTGCTCCAGCAAAAACTGGAGATGATGGTTTGATCAAGCCAACGGGACAACATCATCTGCAAAGAGCAGAGACCCCATCCTGAGCCCAACAAAACGTATCCCTTCAACACTTTGGCTGCGAAAAGAAAACCTGTCCAGAATGGTGGCAGAGGACAACTTTCACCAAAATTGAGCCTGACTTACTGGTAGCAAAGCGGGCCAAGCTATGGCACCGATCATACAGGGACCTAGCGGCCTATATCAAAGGGCCTTCTAACCTATGCTCCTGCAGTGACCCAAACAGGACTCTCCACCTTCTTCAAATCCACAAAGAACTTGTAAACTGGTTCAGTGAACTGCCATGTGTCCTCCAGGACCCTTCGGATGGTGTAGAGCTGGTTCAGTGTCAGGACAAAAATCACACTGTTCCTTTTGAATCTGAGATTCAACAATCCAGATGACCTTCTCCAGAACCCCTGGAGAGATCTTATGAAGGAGGGTTAGGAGAGTGATCATCCTGTAGTTGGAAGAAACTCTTCGACCCTTCTTTTTAAATATGGGAACCGCCACCCAGGTCTGCCAATCTAGGGGAACTACGCCCGACATTCACAAGATATTGTAGAGTCATGTCAATGAACACAGCACGACAACATCCAGAGTCTTAAGGAATTCGTTCACCGTACCAATTTTGTAACATACTGTATGGGAAAAACATGGAAGAAATTACAGCCAAAATATTGTAATGGAAGTATTCACATGTTAACATACCATTACAAACAGCGTCGTGAGTTTTGTTTCCTGAAGACTTTTCAACAAGTCCCTTTGCACCACATCTGTAAATCATACAATATGTTACTGAATGTTTTTGAGCAAGAGACTTTTTATTGTGTTGTGATATTATGTATGGTTCAAGTAATGTACCAACTCGACTGAGGAAAATATGTATACATGTTGTTTTGAAACCCATGGCATTTTTTGCAAACAGTGGGCCAATGCTCACTGTCTCATTTTACCACAGCACATACTTCAACATCTTTGTTTTTTCCCAATATTGCTTGTCCCACAGGTGGGATCTCTTGTGGCTTTCTTTTAATGTTGACTTTAGAATACCATACAATAGCTACTTTATTTTCCCAAAAGGGAAATTTTGCTCACAGTAGGAGAGCATGACAGTCAAAAGACAAATAAGACTTTATTTTTCCCACTCATTAATTCTTAATTCACCATTAAGAGCAGAAGTGGATAGATTCTTCCACTTGTTTTGCAAATCTCTGGACTTGCTCTTGCTTTAAACTTCTCAACAACTTGATCCTCAATCTGTTAGCACTGTTCCTTGGTCTTCATTGTGCTGTTAGTTAAATAATGTCCTTTATCAAACCTGGCAGACCTTTACAGAGTAGCTGTATTTATACTGAAAAAATTACACCCTGGTGCCATCATTACTTTGTACTATTTTAGTCAATTCAAGAAGGAATCAGTTCCACTGGATTTTATTTAGGGCTATTAGAAAGAGGGAGAATAAACACAAGAATGTGTTACATATTTTTATTTGTGAGAAATATTGAACACCAGGTATCATTTACCTTTCGTTTGGCATGAAAACCCTACTTCCATTTGACACAGACTTGGTGATCTAAGAAAGGTTTGTGAATTTTCTGTATTTTTAGTAAACATTTAATTCACTCAAAATTCCACCAATTTCTTTATGATGGAAACTAAATGATTAAAGATCAATTTCTTTTAAAAGGAGATTAAAGTACTTGCTGTTACTAGCTTATTTGTACCTTTACTGCTTCAGTCGTAAATTCCCTACAACTTTTACTTAGGTTCCTTTACTGTGGCAACCTACAGCAATGGTACAAATGCTAAAAACAATATTCTTACAGTGTCCATGGCTTGCAGGTGTCCTCTTTTGCATCAAAGAAATGATTTCCAGGGCATTTAAATTCACATTTGTAAGAATAGTTTCCATTCCCCAAATCTATAAATAGATAGATAGATAGATAGATAGATAGATAGATAGATAGATAGATAGATAGATAGATAGATAGATAGATAGATAGATAGATAGATAGATAGATAGATAGATAGATAGATAGATAGATAGATAGATAGATAGATAGATAGATAGATAGATAGATAGATAGATAGATAGATAGATAGATAGATAGATAGATAGATAGATAGATAGATAGATAGATAGATAGATAGATAGATAGATAGATAGATAGATAGATAGATAGATAGATAGATAGATAGATAGATAGATAGATAGATAGATAGATAGATAGATAGATAGATAGATAGATAGATAGATATAGATAGATAGATAGATAGATAGATAGATAGATAGATAGATAGATAGATAGATAGATAGATAGATAGATAGATAGATAGATAGATAGATAGATAGATAGATAGATAGATAGATAGATAGATAGATAGATAGATAGATAGATAGATAGATAGATAGATAGATAGATAGATAGATAGATAGATAGATAGAGATAGAGAGAGAGAGAGAGAGAGAGAGAGAGAGAGAGACAGACAGACAGACAGACAGACAGACAGACAGACAGACAGACAGACAGACAGACAGACAGACAGACAGACAGACAGACAGACAGACAGACAGATTAATCATTTCCTTTTGCATCAATGTGGCAAACTCTTAACTCCCACACTAAGGAGTAATATTGTTGCCTTCCTAAAATAATGGCATTTCATTTTTCACCAAAAGTGAATTTGGCAAAACAATCCCCATCAACCCAAAAAAGTGAAAGATCACTTTTGGCAAGAAAATGAGTTACACCATTATTTTAAGAAGGTGATAATATATAAATAGCTCTAGCCTAGTCGATGACACACAAATATTCCATGTCACCAAGTAATTAATTTCTGATATGTTTGAATATGTCCACTCTCACCTGTCTTCTTTGGTTCCTCTCCTACACTGCACTTGTTTTCCTCACAAAGTGAGCATGAGTTGTCTGAGCACAGGAAGCCAGGTCGGCACTGACAGTTTCCCTTTGAGGTTTCGCTACATTTCTCGGCAAACCCTGCAGACAAACAAGAATTCCAACCATTTTTTTTTCTTTTTTGCCTTGAGCCACTAAGTTAGGTGAATTGCTATTGTACATACAAAGTGTTACCTTGCTGGCATGAAGGGCATTTCTTACATCTATCAAAGGCATTGATTTGGTCTGCATAAGTCCCTTCCGGACAGGGTCTGCAGTCAGTTTCCCGAGTTTCGGTGCAAAAGTCCTTCAAATAAGTTCCTTCCGATCAGACAACACATTTGAGTCAACTCCAAAAATATTCATACTTAATACTCAGTATATTTTACAAATAATGTTATTATTAGATATAACAACACAAAACATTTGTGCAAAACTCTGCATTACTTTTACGTGGTTTATGTATGGCTTTAAAATGTAAAAATTGAAGCACTTACCAGGCTCACACAATTTGCAGCACCGTCCATGTTTTTCATAGAAATCCTTTCCACAGTTATTTTTCTGTCCTGTAGTCCAAGTGCTCAGTGAAAGCACTATTAGAAGTGCTCTGGAGAAGCTGAGATTGATCATTTTAGTCAGAGCTGCGTTTGTGTGTGTGGGATTTTATATTGGCTTTGTGTGTGACGTCACTGTCTCTGGGTTTAGAGGTGGTGTTTTAGACTAAAGGAAGTGAAAGACCACTCTTCAGTATGCAAGGACTGAAATGCAAAACATTCAACAGTGCAGGATGAATCAAATATTTTCAGTGCAAATGTGTTCATCTTAATTTGTGCTTCAATATAACTTAATATGTCCTCATTAGTTGTGGAGTTTGTGTATTAAAACACCATTTAAAATCTGTTGTAAGAATTCTAACTTTTAAAGTAATGTCACACATAAGTTTACTTTATTAGGTACACCTTTCAACAATTCAATAGCTCAGCATTTCAGCCAGCCAGTTCATGTCAGCTACTCAATGCTCTATGGCATGTAGATGTGGTAAAGATAACTTTGGAGATTGAAATTATTTTGGGTGACAGGGCTGGTGAGTATCAGAAACTGCTGACAAGAATATCAAAGAAGAATCTGAAAGTAAGTGAGTGAAAAACATGATCTGCTGATGTCAGACATAAGAGGAGAATTAGCTGAGTACTGCTTTTAATCATTCCCTTCATAAATAAATCACACTATATCAGTCTTTCCATGGCTATTTCAAGCGGGATTATGCATAATGTCACAAAACTCAAATACTTTCACTCTGGTTTCTGTAAGTGGCCACTGAGTGAAGTCTACCCTCTAAAACAAATAAATATTTCACTTATTTACCTGTGTAAAATTTACCCTTACAACAAACCAACTTCTACACTTCACAACCATCACCCACATAAGTTTGAGAAAACAAAGGAGGGTATATTTAACAGAAAGAGTGTCATCGTTTACAGCTATTGTACTCATACTACTATTACCAATAATGCTTCCTGCGTCTTATCTTCATTGAGTTCATTGTATATTCCTCAGGTAAACCGTCTATCAAACTGGGTGAAAATTCTTCACAATCTATCAAAAGTGGCTTGATAAGAACGGTGTTTCCTAAAGTCAGCAAAATTATCCTTAAACTGGACCTATTGTGAAAAAATTATTTTTTGCACATTTTTTGTTTTTCCATTTTGGTCTCTTCTCCTTCCAAAAACAGTCCAAGTTCTTTAAAACCCTTCTCAGTTGTTTTCTGATAAGTTAATGCATTTTTGTAGTCTGGAAAATGAAACGTTTCAAAAACCTCCACATTATTGAGTCACAACCACAACGCACTGGCCGTCACCTGGTGACGCCAGCTGAGCCTCCTGCTCCTCACCAAGTAACCCAAGCAGGAATGTGGGCCTGTCTGTAAGCGTGTTTCACCACTGCTACACTGTACAATGGCTGCTGAAAAAGACATGTTTTGTTCTGACTAAGGGTCACTTTACAATTCCACATCTGTTAGCAATCAAACAAGCAGCAACTTATTTTTATTTACAGAGACAAGAGGCACATTCTAAAAGCTCAAATTGGCTGAACTGAGCAAAGTGAAATCTCATTATCTGAGAATGAATCTGTGCAGAACAAAGATTTTGAATAGCCCATAATCAAAACCTAACTTGTTCAAACAGGCATAAAAGGTCACCTTTAACCTAAATTATTTTTATTGATCTCTACTGCTTAATACTTTTGTGCTTTTGTACCTCCTATAATATTAGATGACATTTATTATGAGGAGATGTGTTTTATTGAATAGTTTAAAACTTTATATTTTATTGAAATCCAGCCATGGTTGTTCAGAATTTTCTTCTTGTCCTGCAAGTTTTTATTAAAAAGGAAATGTCCCTCCCTGCAACATTTTTTAAAATATTGTGACTGATTTATCCAAAAATACAATCAGCAATATTTTTCAATGTTTTACAGTGTTTTTCAACACTAGACAATATTTCCGAAGCACAATTACTGTACATGGCTTACAAACAAACTTATTTTATGCAATTTATTTTGAAGAATGATAAGGTTTGAGTTTATTTAGCGCCCAATGAGTGGAAAGCATAAAAAGTTACAGAGCAGAAAAAATCATTTTGGTGTGAACTTCAAGTTCACACCAAAATAAAGAAAAATACTAAATGCTTCGCTTTTCATAAAAAAAAAAAAAAAAAACTAAATGCTTCGCTGTGGTTAATAGACTTTTGAAACCTAAAAAACATGTTTTGTTCCTCGGAAAGTGTAAGCCTGATAAAATCTCTTCAAGTAGGCTCAATGTGGTTTTTTATTTTTATTTTTTCTTCTTGATTTTCTATTGACCTCCATTAAAACAGTTTCCAGTGCTCAGAACTATATGTTCAAGTTAATTGCTGCATGAGTTGAGTTTTATAGTTTCACTGACGTCAAAATATTTGAACATCTGGTCTGCAAAAAATAAAAATGATGATTGCTTTGGACACCTAGAGCCTGTTTCACACCTCATCGACAATGAAGGTTTTCAAGTACTGTAAAATGACATGTGAAATCTCGAGTATCACAGAGCTGGGAAGGTTTATTCAGAATCACTGACTTATTTTAAGAATTTGTTAAGTTCATATTCAGGCTCTGATGTTTGGGTTGAGTTTTTTTCGGGGTTTTCTGCACTATATACATTTTCACACAGGCATTCAAACATTACTGATAACTGATAATGCATGTTATTTTATGGGTTTAATTAAATGATCTCTCTAAAATACGATCGTCTTGTCCTGTCTGCCTCTGTTTAATACAATCTTTGTGGGAGGGCTACAGCAGCTGCAATATCACGTGAGATAAATTTCAAACAAAATTTCAGAATAAAATATTATTGTTTTGTATGTGATCATAAGAGTTGGGTATAAATAGTTACTTTTACTCAATTACATTTACGTAAGTAATTTTTTTTAAATTACTTTTAGGAGTATTTTTTTTTACTTGAGTAATTTATTACTACTACTGTTTACTACTGTTAATGCGGCCTGTATCAACCGTATCGTATATTATGAGCGTGGCCGCTCACAATATATGTATATATATCAAAACGTGCGGCTCCATCCCGTCAGGGAAGCTATTACTTTTGTTGGCATTTCGCGTAACTGTGAAGACATGATTAAGAAAAAAAACGAGCCAAATTCAAGTCAAAACAAAAGACTAACTGACACAAAACCGTGTCGGTTTCACCCAAATAAACAAAATTGTGTCTCCCTCTGAGTGGTGACTGTCTCTATATTCCCAGATTCCACAGAGAGACTCATTTGCAGTTTTTCTGTTTGACCAACAGAGCAAATATGGCACAGAATGATTTCTTATTAGCGACAGTGGATGTTTGTTTGGTAGCGCGGTGAGAAACTTGAGGAAGAAAACAGGCAGCTAAAAAGGACCGTGGATAACCTCAGGATAAAGACTGAGCTCCTCACAGGTAGCACAAATAGTAATGCTAGGATCTGGAAAGGAGAAAGTGTAATGCTTTCAGATGCAAAAGAGGAGTATGAAAAGGAGGTCAAGGCTCTTAATGTGGAATTGCAGAAAGCTAGAGCGACTATTGAGACTTTGAAAAGAGATAATAATGACATCTCCGGGTTTAACATGCGCCTGGAAAAGACCAATATTTCAATCACACAAAAGGCAGACAATTTATTGAGGGAAAAGTCCAGAGCGTGGGACTGGCTCAAATCAGACAACAATGAGCTTAATAAAGAAATTATGCCTCTGAAAATAAAGCTTGATCAAATTAAATCCAAACAAAAACCAAGGGGTGTCCAGAAAAGTTGAGAGACCATGGAGAAAAACTCAGAGAGGACCCCAGAGGAGACAACACTAACGATGTTTCAGAGAGTCGGGCATGTGTTTGCCACAGTGTATCATTCGAGAACTTTGAGATATTGGCTCCCATAGTGGATTTTTTAATTTCTGCAAGTTTTTTAATGAGTGCAAACAAACTTTTTAGCATATTATACTTACAGTTAGGGCCAGAAATATTTGGACAGTAACACAATTTTCGTGAGTTGGGCTCTGCATGCCACCGCATTGGATTTTAAATGAAACCTCTACAACAGAATTCAAGTGCAGATTGTAACGTTTAATTTAAAGGGTTGAACAAAAATATCTGATAGAAAATGTAGGAATTGTACACATTTGTTTACAAACACTCCACATTTTAGGAGCTCAAAAGTAATTGGACATATAAACATAACCCAAACAAAAAAGTTTTTTCTCAATATTTGTTGCGAATCCTTTGGAGGCAATCACTGCCTTAAGTCTGGAACCCATGGACATCACCAAACGCTGGGTTTCCTCCTTCTTAATGCTTTCCCAGGCCTTTACAGCCGCAGCCTTCAGGTCTTGCTTGTTAGTGGGTCTTTCCGTCTGAAGTCTGGATTTGAGCAAGTGAAATGCATGCTCAATTGGGTTAAGATCTGGTGATTGACTTGGCCATTGCAGAATATTCCACCTTTTTGCTCTCATGAACTCCTGGGTAGCTTTGGCTGTATGCTTGGGGTCATTATCCATCTGTACTGTGAAGCGCCGTCCGATCAACTTTGCAGCATTTGGCTGAATCTGGGCTGACAGTATATCCCGGTACACTTCAGAATTCATCCGGCTACTCTTGTCTGCTGTTATGTCATCAATAAACACAAGTGACCCAGTGCCATTGAAAGCCATGCATGTCCATGCCATCACGTTGCCTCCACCATGTTTTACAGAGGATGTGGTGTGCCTTGGATCATGTGCCGTTCCCTTTCTTCTCCAAACTTTTTTCTTCCCATCATTCTGGTACAGGTTGATCTTTGTCTCATCTGTCCATAGAATACTTTTCCAGAACTGGGCTGGCTTCTTGAGGTGATTTTGGGCAAATTTAACTCTGGCCTGTCTATTTTTGGAATTGATGAATGGTTTGCATCTACATGTGAACCCTTTGTATTTGCTTTCATGGAGTCTTCTCTTTACTGTTGACTTAGAGACAGATAGACCTACTTCCCTGAGAGTGTTCTGGACCTCAGTTGATGTTGTGAACGGGTTCTTCTTCACCAAAGAAAGTATGCGGCGATCATCCACCACCGTTGTCTTCT